CAGTGGAGCGAGCCCATGGTCAGGTCAACGTCTTTAGTGACAATGACTTGATCAATCTCAATCCCTATGACTTGATCGAGCTATACGCGTACACAACTCAGCGACAGGATCAGGGCATATAATTTGGGATGGCGAACAGAGCGATCGTGCAGACATTGGAGACCATGGTGAAGCATCAAGCCAAGAGTGACTTCGAGATTGCTCTTTGGCTTGGCATCAACAGACTATCCTGCACTCCACCTGATGAAGACTTCCTTATCCTGCAGGTAAAGAGATCTGTCTCTGTCCTTACTCAACCAGAACTAGGTCTGGTTTATAAAAATGAGTTTGGAATAAAAAAAAAATTTAGGTTGACTGAGGCCTTTAAGTATTCAAATGAAACACTTAAATAGTTTCAGAAAGCCATCAGAGACAAATTGGGCAGATCTCACGTGCCAACAGATGATGGACAAAGACTGATACATGAAATATCTACAGTCATCGATTACAGAGGACTACTCATGCGCTTTTGGAAAATATCACAGGGGAGACCCTGAATGTAGTCTTATGATTTTTTTTTCTTATAATTTCCTTTCCATTAATGTAAGAATTCATCATTTGTTCCAATGAAAAATTTGGCAAAAGATGCTTTTCTTTAGAATAGCCTTTGTTCTTCATTTATACTTTGAATGTTCTTAGAATAGTTGATGTTTGTTCTTTCATTACTTAGGGGGAGATTGTTAGACCCCATAAGTATTATGTATGAAGTAATGAAAACAAACAAGTGATGAAGAACCAGATGGCCGATGGAAGACTTCAAAGAAAAATGACTAAGTCTGAAGAAAAACCAGAGGGTCGATGAACTGACCAGAGATGCGATGGAAAGTGCATCTCCATAACCCCTCTGGACACTAACACTTGAAGTTTCCTTCACCAGTTCAACCAGAGGCTAGCAATGATGAAATGAAGATAAAGTTGAACTCATATCCCATGGAAGACAGCTGGAGATGACTAATCAACAGCTAGACTCTACAAAGTTTATCTTGTTTTAATGTTTATCCTTATTATAGATAAGTTTTATCTGTTAGTAGAAGATTAGCTAAATAGTCTCACTAGATAGTTATCTTCTTATTAGCTTACTAGTATAAATAGGTGGTTAGGCCTATTGTAA